TTTTGGAGATAATAAGGATTTACTGATACAAGCCCTACTAATCAACCCATAGCTGGGGTGAGAAGAGGTGGATTCATATCATTTCCAAGCCCATTTGCATGTAAGTAAATATATCAAACCTCACTGGAATTGGAACTCAGCTCTCCAAGTTCCATTTCATAGACATTATCCATTACACTACATTCACATCCAAGTTTTCAAAATCTGGTATTCCCAAGTGGTTACCCATTTAGCTACAAACTAGACTTGATGTTGCTTAACTAGTGAGTGTACAAGAACCAGTGTTTCATGGATGGCCACATAGTACAGATGCTCATTAAGATCAATATATTTTAAGAGTAGCAGTGGTGTAATGTGTAACATTCACAGGACAGCCATAAATGTAACTGTTGGGAATCTTCTACTTTCAGAAGGATATGAACATGCATGTTGTAAGCTTGGTTGCCACTTATACTACAATACCATTGTACATGTCTCCAGTGATGTTACTAAACATGGGGTGAATGAAGGAATCATAGTGGTTGGTGATGTGAGTAATGATTATTTGTATGTGTAATGTAGACATGGAGAGAAAAATCTTTCAGAGAATATTTGCTAATAACACACAGAGCCAGCACCTGGTATTATAGTGTGGGGTGCCATAAGTTATAAATCTCTTTAATCTTTGTAAAGGGAATTTTGAATAATGTCATGTATCTCCTGAACATTATACAACTATTCCTGCAATAAAATGATGTTTTATTCTAGCAGGATAATGCCTATCCACCTCATGTCCAGGATATTCAATATACTGCTTAATATGTTCAATAATTTTCTTAGCTAGTATATTTGCCAAACCAGTCTCTACCATTGAACAATATGATGGGACAATGCCTGTCTCATTTATTTAGTCATCCTACAACTTTTGCTGTATTTTGTCTACAGATTCAAATGGTATGGAATAATATATTGTATGATTATAACCATGAGAGGGAACAGATTCAAGTGTTGATGTCCAATAAAGATATACAGCATATTAATGAGGTTTGATTACTGTTCATACCTGCAGCACTTATTTTGAAACCTATGCACAAATTGATAGCCATGTTAGTTGTAGGTTTGTTCTTGAGTAAAGTGAAAGACATATTCAAAGTCTTGCAATTTCATCAGTATGTGTGTGTGTATGTATGTATGTATATATATATATATATATATATATATATCGTACTTTGTGGAAAGTGCTCAGTATTTGGGATAGAGCTAATATGTTCAGTTGCATAGATAGTAGTTGTTTACAAACTACTATCTATGCAATTGAATATATATATATATATATATATATATATATATATATATATATATAAAAACTTAAACAAATAAGTTGTAAAATACCATCATGACAAATCTGGATATATATACTATATACAGTGCAGATAATGTAATATACTTTAGTCTAACCAAATAAGAACTAATCCCTGAAAAATCTAAATAAATAAACAAAAAATCTAAATAAATAAACAAATTAAGAAACTATGAATATACCCAATTAAATATAGGTACCTCCAAAAATTTTCTAAAAAAAATAAACTGAGCATAGCATGATGAAAAAGGCCAGAACTTGATAAAAACAAAGTTTTATCATCATTAAGAGGAGACCCTAAGTAATTTTTATTAAATTTTTTAATACTTTCTAGCATGTTCAAAATAAAAAATGCAACAAAACTATGACATTACTTAATTAGAATAACATTTAGTTGCTTTTATAAGTAAGATCTAATAACGCCACTATATTGCTTTAAGAAAAGATTTTTACAAGAATTGCTTCATTTTTTTAAAATTTTAATTACAAAAAATTTATTAAATTTTAGATCTTTTAAAATTCTGCATTAATTTCAACAGTTTTGATGATATTATTGTTAAGTGAAAACTATACTAATCATAAATGGAAAAGTTTAATACAAATCATTAAATACCAATATTTTGAAAATAATTTTGAATTTTTTTTATTAGTGTATAAATGTGCCAATTTTGTAAGTACAGGTAACCATACACAAAATTATCAAAAAATAATAGTGATGACTATAATAAATTTAAAGCCCAAATTTTTAAAATTCAGTGAAATATTAGATTATGAAGAATGTTTTCCTAAATTTTTAAGATTACTGAATACTTAGAAATTAAATAAAAAATGCACTAAAAATGTGTCATTTTCTTCAATTCCATTTTACAAATAAAGTCTGTGTAGAACAACATTAGATCTGTCATCACCTCATCAAACATGGCTACTGTCAGTTAAAAACATGGATACTACCAGGTTTAAAAATGCATTACTGTGATAATTTAAATTTGAAGTAAATAATATTTGTTTCAAATCAGATTAATTATACTTTCAGCTAATATTCCTCAAATGAAATTTCAAAAAGTATATTTTATTTTTGGAAGATTATTTAATAAAGAGAATTATATTGTGATGAAAGATGATTAAAAAGTGTCTAATCAGCTATTTTAGAAAAAAAAGAAAAAATGAAATTTTTTCCAGTAGATTTAAATTATTTTTTGAGACAAAGCAAAGTATTTTCCTTATTGAAAATTTAATCTATTAGCCTGAAATTAAAACTAAAATTAAAGCGTCAAGAAATATTTTTCTTTTTTAAAAATTAATTTTAAATGTTAGGTATCACATTTTTTGTGGAGGTCCCTAAGTAAATGTAATAATAATAATAATAATCAGTAACAAATAAATAATCAATAATAAATAATGAGTAAAAAATTAGCAGACAACATTATAAATTATTTCTATTCAATAGCCTCTGGAATTTGAAATATATTTGTTATTACCTACCCTATAATTGCTTGGATAATATAAGAGACCTTGCTACCCATAATTCACTATTGACCAGCATGTATAAATAGTGAAGCCAAAACACAACAAACATGGCCTGAAGATTGCATTCAAGCATGAAACAGACTGTTGCTGCTCATTATCCACTTTTATACTTACATATGCTGTATCCCTGATATTGAGCACTTTTTCCCCATAAATATAGCATACCTTAAAAACTATATTTTTATCATATATATATTATAGTAAGCCTATTTATATGTATATATATATGGACATACTTTATTTTTAATGTTCGAAAAACTGACAAAAAAGTGAACAGCTTGCACATGTTAACCATTAGACCTTTACTTTGCCACTGAATTATATGCAGATTCAACTCCCTAACTATTTTAACAGTCATCTCATTCAGCTGTTACAAGCTCCCCTATCTTTAACTAAGGATGACATTTCTTTCATTTTTTTAAATACAGGAATCCCTCAATTAGTGCAGCTAATATATACATTGGTAACTATAAAAAATCAATTTTCAATTACTATGGTTAAATTGAAGAATATTTTACTGCACTAATCAAGTATTATGTATGCACTAATTGAATTTTGAAACATAAAAATTTTAGCACACTAATTAAAGATGCATTAATCACAGGATGCCTGTACTGCATTGTATCCTAGTTTATATAATATGTACAAAGCAAGGATTTTTTTAAAACAACCATAGTGTGTTGCTATTGTACCAGATTGTTATGAAAGACTAGGTTTAATAATTACCAACTATGAGTTTATTAAGGTATAGTCATACATTTTACCCATTAATTATTGGAATGTACCAATAGTACTTCAATTTTCTTTAATTTTCAGCATGTTTTTCATTTTTAATTTCTTTCATATTTTCTTTTTCTTTTCAAAATAACTGAGGCTTCCCCCAGTCATTACAATCTTAACCTGTTCAAGTCTAGGGTTAACACTTATCTTCCTCACATACCCACAGAAACTGTACCTCTCACTTTGTAACCCTCTACCTTGAATGGCTCTTGGGCCTTGTACAGGCTGAACATCATTGTGTAAAAAAAAAAAAAAATGTGCTCTTTTACAAGTGTTGTCTTGAATAGCCATGCCAGTGGGAACTTTTCAACTTCTAAAAGAAGTATGAGGGTTCAAATAAATGTTTAACTTTTTATATAAGTTTAATTAATATGCCAGTTTGGATAATAATGCTGGGAAATCTTTTGAAAAGTAGTAAGTATACTGTACCAGATAAGCACCAATATGGGGGAAAATTGAAGGAAATAATTTAATCATGCTGGCACTTGTATTTGATACACAAGAGTAATGCTCTAGCTTGTGTTAGATTTACGGCCACATCATATTGGAACACCAGTTCTTGTATGATCACTGAAGTTAAGCAATGTTAAACCTGGTTAGAACTCAGATTTCCAATTCCCATTGAGTTTGTTATATTCACTTATGCACAAATAACCATGCAAAAGGTAAGAATCCACCACTTCTCCCCCAGCTATGGGTTAATTAGTAAGACTTGTATTGTGACATTGTAAGAATGCTAATAATTTGAATACAGAAAAAAGGGTTAAATTAAATTGAAACTGAACACAAGAGAGAAGAAGGTAGATTGAAGGACATACCAAAAACCAAAGAAAATATACATTTTTTTCTTATTTTGTGAGTAAAGGGCCTTGCTAGAAGATAACACTGAAGTCCACTTAGGCATCTGGTTAAACTGAGGTTCAAAGGATGATGTTGGGTGGGGGGAGTGTGATAACAACTGTGAACTGACCAGGGCTGGCATTTTTGAACAGAAAACACCAAGCTAGTTATAGATAATAATTTTATGGCTGCAAGTAGGAGAAGAAGAAAGTAAGAAAATGATTCTATGTCAATTGTTGATAGGGATGGAGGATGAGCATATCACTAAAGAAATAAGATCTCAGAGGGTGTGAATATCACTAAGCAAATAAGATCTTGTTGGATACAATGCGGAATCTGAATGATGATAACAGTTTAGTCAAGCCTTCTCCAAAGACAAGGAAAGAATTACAATTATCCAAGATGAGAAATCTGGAAAATATCAAAAAATTATTTTTTATGACTAAGGACATTTCTGATGATGTGACGTTGAGACAGATAATTTTAATTAATGAATGCATGCTAGTCATGACACCCAAGGGGCCCTGATTGGTGAATGAGAGAGAGTGGGAGAAAATGGACTAGGCCATTGAGGGGTGTTGGTATAAGGTACAAAAAAGAAAAAGAGGGAGTAAGTAGGGTAGGCCGATGCCCTGCTACCACTACTCTTCAGAGGAGGGGTTTCCCAAATTTGGACATGCAAATTGCTTCCCAGGACACTGTCAGCAGAGAGTTCTGACTGGATATTTAGAAAATCCTGGAACACCAAATTGTGTTGGACCTCACACTGATGTTGGGCGAGGGTCCATCAAAGCATTCGATTGGAAGGGAATTGTCAGTAGTAGCTGAGGCAGAGACATGCTTCCATTACACCATGGGGAGACAATTGCTTAGATAAATTGAGCAGAGTGTCCTGATGAAATTAGAAAGTGGAAGAATTGGAAATCTCTATATAATGACAGTAAGAGAGAGAGATAGTGAGAGAGAGAGAGAGAGAGAGATAGATAGATAGATAGAGAGAGAGAGAGAGAGAGAGAGAGAGAGAGAGAGAGAGAGAGAGAGAGAGAGAAAGAGAGAGAGAGAGAGATGAGTGCTTCATCAGCATTCCGTAATTTGTTGTCTGAAGAAGTCTCTGACTTAAAGTTTGAAACCTTGACTGACTTGGAAATGAAGAACAAAGTGTCACAAAATTAGACTACAAGGGAGTGGTCATTAGCCTGCATGCTTGTAGATTCTTATACGAAAGAATGATCCTGTACAAACCTCAGTTATATAAACCTTGTTTATTTACACAACTTTCTTTTTTTTCTGTCTTATGACATCATTCCACCTGAATGACACAGATCCTGTGATATCTGGCAATGATTTGATCCTTGCCTACTTCATGATTGAAACAAACATAATGTGGGACAGCAAGAGACTTGGACTGAAGTGACCAAATCCACAGCCACAAGATTCAGCCACGAACATACTGTTGACTGAGGATGGGTTGGCGTTGTCATGTAGCACATGGACCAGGATGTCTTGCAGTGTAATAGTATCACTAAACAATTATTATCTAAAAAAAAGAATTCTTATAATCTAAAAAAATATTCTGGCTTTAAATAACCTGTAAAGGTTTGATAAGCCATAGAAAATGAATGAATCACTGAAATACTGATTAGCTACACAGGCATGTCTTTTAGATTTGTTTACATTCTCTGCAATGGAAATGTATAGAAACTACCGCGGTCACAAAGTGAGGGATCAGTTTATATATTGATAGTAATATAGAATTGATCCTCCACTTTATATCCGTATTATAATTTCTTGTTTGTTTATCAAATTTTGGTTAGGTATGAATCCACCACTTCTCTCCCTGAATATGCTTTAATTATTAAGATGTTTATCACTAAAACATTATCTCCAAAAGGAAAATTCTTACAATCTAAAAAAAAATATTTTCCGGCTTTAAATAACCTGAAAAGGGTTGAATAAGCTGTAGAAAACAAATCAACTAATCAATCAGTAATTAGCCTGGGTTACAAACTTTGTCAAATTATAATAAAAGAGAAAAAGAAAAATAATATATATATAATATATATAAGTAGTACTTTTTTATTTAATTCCTCTAAATACACAATATATATAAGTAGTACTTTTTTATTTAATTCCTCTAAATACACAATATATATAAGTAGTACTTTTTTATTTAATTCCTCTAAATACACAATATATATAATACTTTTTTTATTTAAATATATATATAAGTAGTACTTTTTTTATTTTTATTTAATTCTTTTTATTTAATTCCTCTAAATACACAATATATATAAGTAGTACTTTTTATTTAATTCCTCTAAATACACAATATATAAATACTTTTTATTTAATATATATATATAAGTAGTACTTTTTTTTAATTTAATACACAATATCTAAATAGTACTTTTTTATTTAATTCCTCTAAATATATATAATATATTTTTTTATTTAATTCCTCTAAATACACAATATATTTAGTACTTTTTATTTAATTCCTCTAAATACACAATATATATAAGTAGTACTTTTTTATTTAATTCCTCTAAATACACAATATATATAAGTAGTACTTTTTTATTTAATTCCTCTAAATACACAATATATATAAGTAGTACTTTTTTATTTAATTCCTATATATAACACTTTTATTTAATAAATATATATATAAGTAGTACTTTTTATTTAATTCCTCTAAATTTAAACTAAATACACAATATATATAAGTAGTACTTTTTTATTTAATTCCTCTAAATACACAATATATATAAGTAGTACTTTTTTATTTAATTCCTCTACAATATATATAATACATTTTTTACAATATAATACACAAAATGAGTTTTTTATTTTTTTTACACAATAATTTGTACTTTTTGATTTTTTGACAATTATGCTAGTATTCTCTTAAATCAATATATATAAGTAGCTTTGAATAAAAGTAGTACTTTTTTTAAATCATGTTTTTATTTATTTATTTTTAGCAAATTCAATTCAAGTTAAAATCTACAATATATATAAGTAAAAAATTCATTCTAAATTTGTTTCTTTTCATATTTGTACTTTTTTAAATTCATCTGATATTAAAGGAATTTAAAAATACACAATAAATAAAAGTACTTTTTTATTTATTTTAAAAATATTCACTTTTTATTTAATTCATTTACACAATAAATATATCTAGTACTTTTTTAAATTCCTCTAAATACACAATTTATATAGGTGTCTAAATACACAATATATATATTGTACTTTTTTATTTAATTCCTCTAAATACACAATATATATATAGTACTTTTTTGGACTAAATTTATATATAAAGTACTTTTTAACCTCATCTTTTTATTAATTACAAATATATAGTGATAATGGTACACAATATATATAATACTTTTTTTTATTTAAAAATAAAATTGAAACAGTTTTTGTTTTTTTTTCACAATTTGTCCTTATTTTCTTTAGGAGCAACAAAATTTGAATCATGTTTTAATTTTTGCAAATTCAATGGTTAAAATCTATAAAAATTCATTCTAAATTTGTTTCTTTCATTTTGTATAAATTCATCTGATGTTAAAGGAATTTAAAGCACAAATGAAACTATTTTAAAAAAGTTTTAAATATTGCAGTGTCATTTTGGGTGTCTCATATTGCATGCAAGTATTTTTTAAATTTTAAAATTATCAAATTAAGTGAAATCGTATATTTTAAATAAAAGGAAAATGTTCAAGGGTTAAATAAACAATGGTCCTTACCAATAAATAAGTTTTAAATGTTGATATTTAATGTTCTCTTCTTTTTAAATTTTAAAATATCATAATCAAACTGAAAATGTTAATGAAATGCTAAACTTAAAGTTTAAATGAAAATGAAAACTAAACTTAGTTTAATGAAAACTAAACTTAGTTTAATGAAAACTAAATGCTAAACTTTGTTCATTCAGCTTTTTATCACATTTACTTTTTATCAGAATTCTTTTTAATTGTCCTACATTGTGTGAGTAGGAATTTTGTGAAAAAAAAATATTGTATTTAAATAGACTGGACATCAAAATTTCAAATTAGATGTTTAGAATCTTTGTATCTTTAATGATTTAATGTAAATTGTTTCCAGTATTTGTTGTATCTCTCCAATGGGACTTATATATATATATAACACCAAAAACAAACCTCCCCTTGAAAATGGCTAGGGAAGTGGTTGAAAGTGTTTGGGACAATGAAAATTATCAAAACTTTCTGTCCTCCCTTACTCCTGCAAAACAGAAAAATGTAAGGATGCTGGAAAAATTAAATGAAAAATTAATTAAACTTTCTTGTCTTCCATATTTAATGAAAGATATTTTAAAGAAAGGTTGATGCCTAAGTATACATTAATATAATATATACAGGGGGTCCTTGACTTACATCAAAGATCCGTTCCTATGGCACTACTTTACCTGATTTTTAACATAGATTGGAACTCACCTACATAAACACCCACAAGTCTGCCTTACACTTGGGAGCTATAATGAAGCACAGAAAGTTCCCCCCTAAAATTACACAAATGAAAGATAGCGAATGTAGCACAATCCAATATGGCGTGCAGATGGTGAAGAAATAATGCCATCTTCCTCATATAGCGTTGTATGACGATATATTATGGGAGATGGCGCCATAAGCACAAAATACCATACATCAGGTCAGTTGTAACCCAAAACCTTTTTATATATATATATATATATATATATATATATATATATATATATATATATATATATATATATATATATATATATATATATATATATATATATATATATATATATATATATTAGGAGGCACGGTGGAGCAGTGGATAGCGGCTTGGATTGAGGAATCGCAGAGCCGAGTTCGAATTCCAGTCGAATCCATTACATTCACTTACGTGCTAATACCCTTGGGAAAGGTATGTATCCTCTTCATCTCCCTCCAGCTATGGGTAAAATAGCAGGACAGACTGGGTTCTATAGCCTTGGATGGCAACTGGTCTAGGAGAAGGACAACTCTGAATTCAAAACCTGCGGAGGGTCGTTTGGGAACCTTGTGGCATGCATTCGGTGCACCAGGTTTCTATATTCGTCCCTCAAAAAGTGTGGCTGGTCCTGCACGAGGCCTTCACCACTATAATCAAATCTCATGTGCGGTGTCGGGATGTCGGTTCCTGGGGACTTATCGGCTGACCCTCATCGTTTAACTTGACGGAGAGTCGATTATATATATATATATATATATATATATATAAGATTTTATGGGCATGTGACAAATTGGTTAAAATGTTCACTTTCTCACCATAAGATCTGGGTTAGAATCTCACCATGGTCAGTTTGTCAGAAAGGTCACATCTTGATGTTATCAGTCTGGGGAGGTGATCCCAGCAAGTGGCACATTTGGAAAGTGCCTGAAAACCATACCTTAGGTTGACCCAAGCTTTGTGAGTGAAATTGGGTAGATGGGACTCTTTGGGTAGCTGTCGATGATTGTGTTAGCATGAAGTCACAAGTCATTGTGACTGAGGGCTTGCACATGCTGGCATTGTTTAAATTGTTGGTCATGCTAGATGATGAGCTCTCTCCCAGAAACTCTAACTAATTTCTGCTCAGCATAGTTGCAGTATATACCACAGGTGGACTCTGTGGATGTTGTGGATAGAAGTGGCTAGCCATTTAATTTAATTTTAAGAATTGCCTATTTAAGGAAAACAAGTTTAAGCATGTACCCTTAAATAGGCACTTTGAAGTTTGCTCTGTCAGATTGGCTCAGTGGCTGAAACTGTAGAGGCACACTTTGGCTAAAAAGTGATTTTCATCATGGAAGTATATAAGAATATAACTGAACCAGTCTGAAGAACAAAGGGCTGAAGTTGTGGTAACTTGGTAAGTTATTTATATATCAGAATAATATTTTATATATATATATATATATATATATATATATATATATATATATATATATATATATATATATATATATATAAACTTCTCAGAATGTATCTGTAGAAAAAAAAATGATTAAAATAGACACTAGGAAAAACAACAAACTTAGTCTTTGCTGATGTATTTCATCAATCTGA